TGTTGAGCCAAGGTCAGTGGGTTGAAGCCGTCATGTGTGAAGCATGGGTGTTTTTGTGTGGATGATGGCTCAAGAAGTGTGGTAATGATCTTGACAGACTGGCACGCATGTTACCATCACCTGTACCTGTGGGACTGATTTGGATCCATGGCCCCACACACATAGTTGCACCATCATGAGTGACACTGAACCCGAGGATGCGTTGGACGCGCAGCCATGGAGCCAGATGCCGAGGCTGACGCAGCCAGCTCGAGCAGCTCAAGCAGCTCAACCAGCAGTGACGAGGATGAAGCCGGCCAGCATGGAGGCAAAGGAATGGGTCGGACGAAACAACACGAGTGTGATAATCACGGGCCGTGCGTGCGAGTGGCAACGTTACGCGTAAATCATGCTTTCACGTGATGCTCGTCACCTGGAGATTCAAACACCCAGAAATTTCTGGGCGTTTTGGGTAATGGGTACGATTGGAGGAAAACTGGGCGTTCTAGTACGAACCGCTGGAAAACTAGTACGAAGGCCGGCATGTAAGGTGCTGCCGGCCGTTTGGAGGATATTTGAGCCAACAAGATCTGACATATATAGTTTCCTTTCTCGGTGCTTGCATTTCCCGTTGCAATCATGACCCTACATCGGTCCCCAATCAGGGCATGCTATTGAGCGGGCAGTGCTGCTTTTCACCGGGCACTCCACGCAAACAAACCCAATTGACCCATTTTTTGGGATTTGCGCTCGTTTGCGGTATTTTGCGGGTGTGCGGCCAAAAGTGGTACGAACAAAGAGCATTTCTCACCCAAAGCATGTTTAGACTAAACTTGCTCCGATTTGCGCACCACTCCCCCGCACAGCTAGGATTGAAGGGTGTTGATGGAGGGAAGGATTTGAAGGGTTGTCGAGTTTGAAAGTTTCAGAAGATTCGAAAATCAGGTCTAGTGGGCAACATCAAGCTGAATGAGAGAGAAAGACCTGTGCAAGAAGGAAACGCCCAATAATTCCAATTTCTAGGTGTCTTAGTCGTTTTGAGGTAAAAAATGATACGAAACAGGCAAATGCAATACAATGACCAAACCACCTACTGGTTTCTAGTCGTTTGAAGCTGCAGGCAGTTTTCTTGCGGCAATTGCTGCCCGAGGACATCGAACCGCGAATCAAATGGAAAAACACAAAGTGAAACGGAAATCTGAAAAAAAGTAAAAAAACCTGACGATCAGTAGGGGATCAGTCGGAACCCCAATCCCAGAGCAAAATCATGGTGCACCAGCCTCCAGAACACGGTAGATCAGGCTTCCAGTCGGGGATTCCCAGTCTTTTTTGGCACGAAACATGGTCCGCGACAGATCCCCTACTGATCGTCAGGTTTTTTTACTTTTTTTTCAAATTTCCGTTTCATTTTGTGTTTTTCCGTTTGATTCGTGGTTCGGTGTCCTCGGGCAGCAATTGTCAAATTCCTTTATCCAGACTGGCACGGTATGGGCACCACGACCCCCCCCCCCGAACCATGGTCCGCGACAGATCCCCTACTGATCGTCAGGTTTTTACGTGTTTTTTTCAATTTTCCGTTTCATTTTGTGTTTTTCCCATTTGATCCGTGTTTTGATGTCCTCGGGCAGCATTTGTCGAATTCCTTTATCCAGACTGGTACGGTATGGGCACCACAACCCGCGACGGGTCCGCGACAGGTCCGCGACAGGTCCGCGACAGGTCCGCGACAGGTCCGCGACAGGTCCGCGACGGGTCCGCGACGGGTCCGCGACGGGTCCGCGACAGGTCCGCGACAGGTCCGCGACGGGTCCGCGACGGGTCCGCGACAGGTCCGCGACAGGTCCGCGACAGGTCCGCGACGGATTCGCGACAGGTCCGCGACAGGTCCGCGACAGGTCCGCGACGGGTCCGCGACAGGTCCGCGACGACTGGTCCCCAACTGGTGCCTGATTTGGCGGTTCGATTCCACCCTTGCCACATGAATGGTTGCGCCAGGCGATGCCAGATTCCGTGTGGACGACATGTTTGCGGACTGCGACATTGGTGGGCAGACCAAAGCGAGAGCCACTTGCAAGCTGAAGAGGAAACGGGCGCCGTCTGGCGCGGGGCAGGCTTTGTCGCCCAATATGGTTGAATCCTTCCGCTGGAACTTTTGGCTGGTAGAGCAGTGCGAGGCAAACTACGGTCAGGCGGCCGTGTCCACCCTGCTGCGAAACACACACAACGCGGTTTGGATGTCGCAATACAGTGACCAGGCAGTTTTGATTGATGATTTGTTTGTTCCCTCTTTTTTGTCGCTTTGCTTGGTTGTTCTTATTGATTTCAACCGACAGCCAGCCCCCTGCTCCCCCGTGTGTTTGTTCTTTGTCCAAGGTGGTATGGGGGGCATGGAGCACAGCAAGGCGATGCTTGAGGCAGCCGTGTCTGACCGAGCGCCAGATCTTTGCCCGGGTTGGGTCCGAGGAATCGTTGGCCATTCGGTTGACATCGACAAGAACTGCCAGCGAGTGCTGTGCTCAAATGAGGACGGCGCCCTGCATGTGTTCCCTGATTTGCTGCAGTTGCTGACGCTGGACGCGCGCGTGGCTGTGCTGAAAGTCATGGACACCTCGAGCCTGGAGTTGAAGCCGCTCATCGCCAAGTACAAGGCCATGCCCAAGATGCCCCAGCCGGTGCGTGGCAAGCAACGGGCTGCCGCGTGTAGTGATGCACCCGGCGATGCCCCGCAGACGAAGGATGATATCAAGAAGGTCATTAACCAACTGGGGAGCGCTTTGCTGGACAAGCTCATGGCCCGCATGGATGCATTTGAGAACCTTTTTGTGGAGCAGGCGACTTGTTGCAAGCATCACTCGAAAAAGTGCGATGTGTTCCCGGCCGCTCTCTTGCAGACCGACAGCGAGCGTGGCAAAGCTGACGGACCCTTTGCTCATCTACATGGCCGGGACCTCTTGCCAGGATTGGTCATCGATGTCGCAGGTGCTGTCATTGGCGGGCAAGACTGTGCTTCCGTTTGCGGTGGAGTTGCAACTAATCCGGAGGAAGCGCCCACATGTGTACTTTCATGAGTGCACGAGAAACTTCAGGGCGTCAATCCTGGAGAAGTTTCTCCCTGGCTACCGGGTGCATTCAATGATCCAGCGGCCCACTGAGCGGGGGTTCCCGATCCAACGTACAAGGAGGTGCGCCGCGTGCATCAGGCTGGACATGGAGCTGGTCCGACCCATTGAGGAAATCAAGATCCTTGATAGGGCGCCTGATTTTGATGGGGGTCAGCTGCTTTGTGCCCCAGATGATGTGGCGCCTTGCGCTTGCAACTACAATTGTGTTCCCTTTATTTATTTTGCGGGGGGGGGGGGGGTTGAGTGAATACAACATTCCACGGGTTCGCAGCCGCGCCGAGGTGGAAGCTGAGCGGAAACGTTTGTGCTCCCGCCAGATGCTGCAGGGCACGTTCTATGATCTGCTCCCGGCCTCGCTCAAAGCATCCTGGCGCGCGTGGCACTTGTGCTTTTCTCATGTCACAGAGTTGTGTCGCCCCGACTTTTCATTTGGTTTTGTTTTTGCTTTGTGTGGCAAATTCCGGCTAGATGAAGCTTCTTAGGTTTGTGAGGGGTAGCCCTTCTTTCACTTTACCTTACAGGGACTTGGATATCGGATAGACCGCGATTTAGTTGTGACTGACTGCTGACTCAGGTGAGGCTGGAACAGTACCACACCAATGAGCGGATTGCCAAGATGGTAAATAGTGGCCGGGAAGTCCTCATCAACTTGACACAGAACGTCGAGTTCAGCGGGCACGCAGGGCATTTTGCTCCATGTTTGTTGACCAAGTCTGTGATTTGGTCAACGCAGCAAGGACGCCTGCTGCTTGCACAAGAACTTCTTGCAGCGCAGGGCGTTCCCGTATTTGGCCCCCAAGTGCAGGCGTCTGGTTTGCCAGTGGCCCCGGTCTGTGCCGATGTAGGTCAACATGCCTTGACACGCATGGCAGGCAATGCGTTTCACGTAGCATGTGCAGGGTCTTTCGTAGGATTTGTGCTCTGCCGTTGGACCCATTGAAGACGACGGGCTGGGTGCCCCCGAAGACTGTTCAGATTAGACTGTTTGCGCAGGCTCCTTTTTGAAGCGCCAGCATTGCCCAGCGAACGACAGCGACCATCACATGCATTGAAATGCCCATGCCTCCCCACTCCCCACAATAAGAACCCAAGAGTCACTCGTGGGTTGTGCTCGCGCTGGAGCTCCAGCGCATTGCCAGACAAGAATTGGCATTGACGGTGATACGCGGAATTGTGCAAAACTTGGTGAATCGAAATTTGCTCACCTTGATCCGAATTGTTGGCCTGACAGACGCATGGGTGCTGATGACCTGAATCAGTTTGAACTGGTGACATTTGAGTTGAGTTGAGATTATGAGACCGATTGCGATTGGCTCTAGCAGGGCGGGCAACTTGGACATGATGACATGGCTCTAGCAGGCGGACAAGGCAGAACTGGCATAGCAGCACCACATGCACTTGGAATCAGCGCTTGCCTTGCTGCCATGGCCATGGCTGCTCATGAGGCTCAGGATGAGCTTGTAGGAGCGGCGCCTGATGCTGAGGCATCAACAGGATCATGCGAGATCTGCAAGAAGCCGCTGACGAAGCAGGACCATTTTTTCTGTGAGTATTGTGTGGTCATTGTGTGGCTAAATGTTCTGTTGAGTATTTGTTGACCCACTGGGCTCCACAAAAAGATCCTGAGTTGGTCGTCCAAGTTGGCTGTCAGGAGCAAGACCGTGCGGCCAGACTGCACCTTGCGAGGAACTTCTGTGTGGAGGACGGCTACGCCAAACGGGCCTTTGATGCCGCTTGCAAAACGCAGGGGACCATGGAGAGGATGACAGAAACTTACTTGTCCAAGGCCATCATTTTGAACTCTTCAGTCAAGTAAAGGTTCCAACAGTTACCTTTTTATTTCCAGGCCCAGGCCCTTTGTGCAGCTGGTCCCAACTGAGGAAATGAAGAAGAATGACCATGACGTGTGGATTCAGACGGTCCGTGCTTTCAGAAACAAGAAAACCACGCAGGGAAAGGCCGCGCAGTTTGACGTGCTTTCCCACGCGGTCTCGTTGAGGAAATCCAGGGTGGATATGCAGGAGGTGGTGATCAAGCCCATGCTGATGGGAGAGTTTGTGCGGCACAAGAAGCAACTGGCTCCTCCTTTCAACCTCTCAGAAGCCGAAGCCCTGTCAGAATGGCACCGCCTTATAGGTGACCCCTCTGTGAACAAATCAGAGAAGGTGCTCTTCAATCCCAAGAGCCGCAAAGAAGAAACATTTACTCGGGTTCATGTGATTATGGAGGAGAACGAGAGGAGACAGCAAGTGCGGGCCCGTGATGAAACCACAACCCAGGAGGCATCGGCCAGACACCCCACAGCATCCTTTCGGCAAGCTGTTGCGGAACGATTTGCCCAAGAGGACTCGGCTTGGTTTTGCTTCTCAAGTTTCTATAGTTTCCATTTTTGTTTGCAATGTTGCCAGCGGGCCCCAGCGATGGCTCACTTACAGTTCCCCCCCAGGAACCACAGGCTGACGCAAGTTTCCTGACGGCCACAACAAGCGCTCCTCGACTGTCGCTTTCTTTCGATGATGATGGGGCTGTTCCTTTGCGACGAGTGGGTCGCAATCGGGGAGGTGGCGCCGGCGCATCCGCTGGATCAGGTGGGCACACGCCGCAAGTCAAGAAAGGCGCCGCCTCAAAGGTTCCTGCCATTGTCAATGTGGAGCAGCTCGCTTTGCAAAAGGCCACTGGGTTCTTGCCAAGGGTCGAGGCCTGCATGAGCAACATGAAGGCTGCCTTGGAAAAGGGCATCCGGGCGCTTGACACGCCCCCCGGGCTGACTGAGACGCTCGGTTTTACTAGGCTGACTTTTTGACCGTTTGAACTATATGTTCAGTCCATGTTGTTTCTAGTGCCATGGTTGTGCACATAAGGAAGTTTTGCGCTATGGTGTCCGATGGCGTTGTGGAGGCAACCGTGACCGGTTGGCTCTTGAGCGGGGAGGACCCGCATCACCTCGGCCCGCGCAAGAGCCTTTACAAGTGTGCTTTTCAGTACGTGCAGAGACTTGTGCTGGTGCAGGCGATGATTGGTGAGGGGGCCATCGACTTCGACCTTCCTGGCATGCAGGTGCTGCAGAAGATGAAGCACTCGGGTGAGAAACGGCCCTTGCGCGACTTGGTGGTGTGCCTTGGCAGAGAAGTCGCTGCATGTTGTTGTTTTCTCACGCATTTCTATTTTGCGATGCGCAGTGGTGGATTTTGAAACTGCATGGGCATCAGCACGGTTTAGCGGGCGTGCCCAAGGTCCGCAGGTTACTTTGATGACTTGCCCCCTGATGATGATCTGGTGCCAGTGCGAGCACTGCTGGATTTGAATGTGAAAAGGGTCCCAAGCGCAGACGCTGGTGCTGACTACAGCTGTTGGCCATTTATGCCACTGCTGTGAAGGCTTTGACCAAGGGAGGCAAAGACTACGCAAGCGCCGTGCAAACCACTTTGACGTCTGAACGGCTCCGGCATCAAAACCAGCAGGGTGCCGCCGCTGATCCACCCAAGGCCAAAACGCGATTGAGCAGCATGGCTTCCACGAGTGATCCCGCGGTGATCAAAATTCACCGTAACCTTGAAAAGCGGGCTCCGGTCAGCATTGTGAAGACCTTCGAGGATTTGGACCCAGCAAGTGCCCGAGGGAGCAGACCATTCATCATCCGCAAGGGCAAGTGCTTCGATAGCCTTTAAATCAAATGTTTTTTGTCAGTTTTCATGAGGTCGGAATCAGGGGTTGGCTTCATGTGTCAGTTGCCCGCAGATAGCCCGTTGTGTGCGTCAGGAACATCATGAAGACCTTGTTCAAGGAGGAGGCTAACAGAGAGCTGGTTGAGGGATTGATTGACAATTTCCGGGAGTCCATGTCTGAGCGGGCTCAAGCGAAAGGGCAGATCAAACTCGAAGAGGAGGCCTGCGCAATCGTCAGATCCGAGCTCTTGAGCGCTCTACCCGGGCCGTCGGAGTGGCCGTTTGTTCCGGAGGACATGTTCCAAACAGACGGCCCAGCCCAGCTGAGTGAGGAAGAGAGCAAGTACATTTGCGCGTTCTCTCAGGCAGCCTTTGTGCACGGACAACGGCACGGCAGCTGCTACCACGGAGTGGAGACATCATGCTTCGCCTCATTGCGTTTGCAGCGCCAAGGCGCCCGCGTGTTTGTCATGGTGAGACTGGCTGAGGCGAGGTCTTACCTGCAAAGGCAAGAGCTGGATCCGAGCGTCGAGGATGTGGTCAACTGGCTGCTCCGGCTGAGTTTGGAGGACCTCCCGTCGCCCACAGAGCTACCCAGCCTCACTTCCTCGACAAGCAAGTGCGGGGATCTGTTCTTTGCCCCGGCTGGATATGTGACGGTGGACAAAGCGTGCGTAGAGGATAACTATAGTCTGTCGGAGCCTCATGTGATTTGTGCGTGTGTGTCAAATGTGTGTCAACGGGCATGGTGTGGAACTGGCGATAAGTTTGCGATGCGGTGCATGTGGTGGAGGGTGAGATGTTTTTGTTTGTTTGCCAATGAGGCGAATACCGCTGGCCATATTTCCATGGTCCCTGCGACCATCTGTGAGCTTCTACGCTGAGTCAAATGCGACGCGTGGCTGCAGCTTTAAGCGTTGCAGTGTCAGACTCAGAGCTTCTGCTGTTCCTTGGGACGGTGGGGTCAGTTTGGACTGAGGAAGCCTCATGTGGAAGCAGCTAGCTTAATTTGCGAATCAATGGCTCGCGAAGATGATGCCTCTGGTGATGAACCAGGCCCGTGGCTGAGGCTTGCAAACATGCGTCATGAGATTGCTGCTCTGATCAATGCCGACAGGTGACCAAGAAGACAAAGACCCAGCCGCAAAGGAGCCACTGCCCCTCCTTGACATCTCGCCTGACGCAAAGCGTAAGCAACAGATTCAAAAGATAGCTGCAGCAAACAGAAACAGCAACAGCGACAGCAGCAAGGCAAGTGCAGCTGGCCACACGCTGATGTTGGACCACCTGCATCCTCCACGCAATTTGGAAGACTGGTTTGCGCAAGATGGCACAGACATATCTGCTGAGCTGCAGCGAGCTAGGGACCACCTGCTCTTCAATGCCTACACGACCATTGCATTTGAGTCGGCTTCTGGAAATGGCAAATTGGATCCGGAGGACTTGGCCCTATTTGGTGACCCTGAAGGTGACCAGATCCAAGATTTAGAGGATTGGCTCCGATTCTTGAAGCGGCATCGGAAGGGTGAAGTGTCAGCAGCAGCAGCAGCAGCAGCAGCGGCACCAGGAGAGCAGCAGTCGCACAAGCAGGCTGAGGCAAATCAGGATAAGGCGCAAGCGTCAGCAACCGGAGGCGCTGATCAGCAGAAGCAGCAGCAGCAGAAGCCGGCTGGGGAGGCCCAGAATGATGAGGCGCAACTGTCAGCAACAGGAGGCGTCGATCAGCAGCAGCAGCCGGCTGAGGAGGCGCCAGTGGTTGACAAGGCTACGGAGGCAAAGCCGCGGCATGATGAGGCAACAGGAGGCGCTGATCAGCAGCAGCAGCAGCCGGTTGAGGAGGCCCCGGCGGTTGAGAAGGCCGCGGAGGCAAAGGCGCAGGATGATGAGGCGCAACTGTCAGGAGGCGATCAGCAGCAGCAGCAGCCGGTTGAGGAGGCCCCGGCGGTTGAGAAGGCCGCGGAGGCAAAGACACAGAATGATGAGGCGCAACCAACAGGAGGCGCTGATCAGCAGCAGCAGCCGGTTGAGGCGGCCCCGGCGGCCCCGCCAATGGTTGAACAGGCCGCTGAAGCAAAGACGCAGGATGATGAGGCGCAACCAACAGGAGGCGCTGAGGAGCAGCAGCCGCCGGCTGAGGGGGCCCCGGCGGTGGCAAAGACGCAGGATGATGAGGCGCAACCAACAGGAGGCGCTGAGGAGCGGCAGCAGCAGCCGCCGGCTGAGGAGGCCCCGGCGGTGGTTGACAAGGCCGCTGAAGCAAAGCGCAGGAGCAACCAACAGGAGGCGCAAGGAGGAGCAGCAGCCGCCGGCTGAGGAGGCCCCGGCGGTGGTTGACAAGGCCGCTGAAGCAAAGACGCAGGATGATGAGGCGCAACTGTCAGGAGGCGGTGATCAGCAGCAGCAGGTTGAGGAGGCCCCGGCGGTTGAGAAGGCCGCGGAGGCAAAGGCGCAGGATGATGAGGCAACAGGAGGCGATCAGCAGCAGCAGCCGGTTGAGGAGCCCCCGGCGGTTGAGAAGGCCGCGGAGGCAAAGACACAGAAGGATGAGGCGCAACCAACAGGAGGCGCGGACCAGCAGCAGCAGCAGCAGTTGGGTGAGGAGGCCCCGGCGGCCCCGCCAAGGGTTGACAAGGCCGCAGAAGCAAACACGCAGGATGATGAGGCGACACAAGCCGCTGATCAGCAGTTGGGTGAGGAGGCCCCGGCGGCCCCACCAGGGGTTGACAATGATCAGCAGCAGCAGCATTTGGGTGAGGAGGAGGCCCCGGCCACGCTAGTGGTTGACAAGGCCGCTGAAGCAAATACGCGTGACAATGAGGCGCAACAGCAGCAGCAGCACCAGTCGGCTGAGGAGGCCCCGGCGGCCCCACCAGTGGTTGACAAGGCCGCTGAAGCAAAGACGCGTGACGATGAGGCGCAACTGTCAGCAACAGGAGGCGCTGATCAGCAGCAGCAGCAGCAGCAAAAGCCGGCTGGGGAGGCCAAAAGGAAAGCCACGCCTGAGTGTGAGAGGCCAGCGAAGGCAGCTCGAGTTGAGGCGCAGACTGTTTCCTGGAAAGGGTGGGACCAATTCAAACGCCCCTTCCCCACCCCGGAGATTGTTGGGCGTGCCGCGCAGCCAAAGGCGCAGATGACCCAGTTGAGCCTGACAGCCTTCGCAACACAACCAGCTGCGCCCAATCCATCTCAATCATCGGGATCATCGGGCCAGGACAGAACAAAAAATGTTGTTGACACATTGAGTTGTTGACGCAGTAGTAGAATCGACAGTCAACATAGTGTTGTGCCCCGATCTCTTCTCGCGCCTGTCAGGAAGCTACAAGCACGCCGGCGCCTACTGCCAAGGCCAAGGCCAAGGCCAAGGGCAAGGGGAACATCAGCAGGTGGAGGCGGACGAGGCCGAGGAGGCCAGGGCCCAGGATGTTTGATTTGTAGCAAGTGCATAATAAGTGTTTGCCAGCGACCAACAGCGAGGCTGCTGCGGCCCTGGCGGCAGCGAAGAAGAGACCCAGGAAGAGGAAGTGATGCGGCAGGACGCTTTGTTTGGCTAATCAGAAGAGTGGCATTTGTTGATTGTTGCGCGTTCTGCAATGCAGTTGATGCGCTCAGTCAGCGTGGGATCGCTTGCGGTGGGAGGAGTGCTGGACTTTCTGATTCTGAGCTTTGCCCGAAGCCGAAGCATGATTGTCCTTGGAGGACCATCGCTGATACAAAAACAAAGCCATCACCATTACTCGCAAACTTATTTGCCACGAAAGCTCAAGCGAGCAAACATGTAATTTGTTTGTCAAGGAGTCCTGCAGGGCATGTTGCTTTGCGCGCAGCCGCTTGAAGCGACTGAGTAGGGTGACGCCCATAAGATTTGGGCGCCGCATGGCTTGCAGCCCCTTTGTTTCACTGGTAATGCTGGTAAATGCTTTGAACATATGATGGGGGATACATCCAACTCGCATCGCAGACGCCGTGGCTTCTGGAACTGTACAGTCAGGACTCTGTTTTACGAAAACTTGAAAACCTCTCGGCACCTGCGCCGCACGGATGTGGGGGATCATTGGCTTGGTAGGAGCAAACTGTAGGAACTGCGTGGCTGCCAGATTAGTCATTGATTGAAATTGAAGTGAACCAGCAAGTTACCAAC